CTTTAGTGAATCCAAGGCTGGGGTGCACAAAACCTGACCAGAGCATCCTTCTAGAAGACCAGCTTTTAGCCTGTTCAAAAGCAGTGTACGTAGAGCTTCTCCATCAACATCTTTAGTGATTATGAGTAAGAGTTTCTGATGACTACTGGCTATTTCTAGAGGAGGTACAATGGACCAGATACTATACAATTTCTTTTCATGTAACAGAAAATCTTGCAATTCATATTTTGACCTTTTGGTGTATTGATCCTTGATCATGCTTCATGCCTTTAATAATTTCTAATTCATCATTTAGTGTTTCCCCACCTCTCATTGTGACACCATTTCTTACAACCCTTTTCATTGCATAAAAAATGATGTTTCCATTTTGATGTCTTCATGTGCAGAAATTATAGCAACTTGAGCAATTACTTCAAGGGTTGTCACAGGTTTAGACTGCTTTTTCAGTCCAGCAATTGCAACACCAACAGCAACTTTATACTTCACCTGATTTCCAGTGTGTTAACATCTTTGCTAACCCTCTCAAGTCTTTCTTGGACACAGAGCATGCCAGAACAGTAGCCTGGTGGTACCATCTCCAGTCTCTTCATTTGTGTTATTGGTGACACTTTGAACAAGTTAGCTCTAATACTTTTATATTTATCCTTTAAATCAATTGACCTTGCAAAGGTCACACCATATTTTCTTTCTTGGGGACTTGTTTGGGTCTATTTATAATCACCATTCTTCCTTTGGCCCCATTGTAACTAATACAGTATTGACTAAAAGGCCCACACCTTGAGCAATAAGACTCAGGTATCTGCACAAAATTTCTATCTTTGGCATAGGCCCAGGACTCTGGTCTCATCTGTAAAAGGACTATGAATAGATGAAGAATTTCTGCAGTGACCTGGTGGGAGCTAATGAATCCAGTTAGACTATCACAGTGAGTGAGAGGAGAAGTCTTTATTTTTAATTCTAACTTGACTGAATAGTCTTGGCTACTTCAGGTGGCATCAGGGAAGTTTAATTGACTTTGCAGAATTCTCTGTTTAGATGCATGAGGCTAACAATCCCACATCCATTGGGAGTTGATTCCTGTCTCAAGAAAGAAGCATTTTGACCAGACTTATAGAGATTGGTGTGTAACCTTGAGCCTATTCATACAACTAGTCAGGCTGTAGCAGTTGCTCTGATGAATAGCCACGGGTGGTGGCAGATCTGCCCTGTAGATAGATCTGTATGATAAACCAAATGAAAAGCCAAACACACTAAGAACACATGTTTTCTTTCCTAACAAAAATGTTTTTAATTGAAATGGGATTTCATCACTTCCCTCTCCCTTTCCTTCCTCCAGCCACTCCCAGCTACCCTCCCTCAAACCCCTCTCTTGGCCTCCACTCTGAAGTTAATAGCCGCTTATTCTTTTATTATATTTGTTATATAATACATATATATGTGTGTATATTTACAAATAAGACCTATTTATTTTGTTTTTGATGTTTGTGTGTATATGATTTCAAGATTGATAACTTCGTATTTGAACAACCAAAACGAGGCCTCATTCCTTGGCAAGGCTAATTCTCCTTCTCCTATCAGTCAATAGATGCCTGTAGTTCTTTGTTTAGATGTGGTACCCTGGGAAATTTTCTCCATTCACATTGACATGTCTATTGATACTACTATTGTTCTAGTCTTGTTTATGCAACCATTTGTAGCAGAGACTGTTTCCCAGCAGACTTCTTGGTATTGAGGCTCTTGCAATCTCCCTCTTTCCTTTCATGATATTCCCTGAGATATAGATGTAGGAGTTGTAATGTAGATGCATCTGTTGGGGAAGGGCTCCCCCTAACTGTTGATATCTCTCTCTGATTATGTCCAGTTGCGGTTTTTGTGGTGGTTTCCATTTGCTGTAGATGGTTGTCAGGTGTCACCATCATGTGAATACCACTTCTTGTACCTTTATGGATAATATTATGCATGCTGCCATAGGATGAGCAATTAGTCCTACACAGCTTCAGAACCTATATGCTATGGCCATTGCCAGCATGACAAGGTATCCATAAAGGCACAAGGAAAGAGGCTTTCAGGACAGATCCAGCTCGAGTCATTCAAGTTGTGTGTACTGAGTGTATGGTTTCTTCAGCAATAGGCACATACCTTCAACCTCTGAGCAGCAAACAAGGGCTACATCATTCATTAATCAATGCTGCTGTTGGAGTTACTTGGACTTTCCTGTCAAACCCTTTAAAAGGGATTTCTTGTGTTTGGTTCCAGGGATTTTATTAATCTATGTTCTTTTGTGGGGAGCATGTCAGTTTAAGTGGCTCAACTTCCTTTAAGACATATATGTACATGTACATGTGAGTGTGTATACATATGTGTGCACACACATGTGTGTATGTATACATATACACCAATGTATATTATGAATAATTTTAGGTAAATATAAAATAATATGATACTTTGAGACTTGATAAACAACTTTGGTGTTATTTGGCCTTCTTTCTCCTTCTGTATGTTTCTTTAGGAACATAGAGAAGTTTTTTTTGTTGTTGTTGTTTAAAAAACCATTAAATATGTACGAGCAAACCTAAAAAGAAACTGAGAGAAATGGACTTTGCAAAGGCAAGATTTGATTCAAGAGAGGCAGATTATGGGAATCTGTACCATGGCAAACCAACAGGCTTACAGAAGGAAGTTGGGCTTTGAGAGGCAAAATTAGGAGGGATATGTAAGTTGCTGTGAGGCAAAGAAGGTTCTGGTTACACAGTCTGTTGTGGGAGGTGATACCAATTGATTAGTGGAGACTGTGATATAAATGCCTATAAAAATCTATCCAGTTGGCCTCCCATGTGACCCTGAGAAAGCTGAGGATTGTTGCAATCTTTTGCCAGAGTTTGATACAGGCAACTATTTTGATTTTGACAACTTTTGCAAAAGTAGGCATAAACCCTTACTATCTAACAACAAAATAGTAACCCAATTGTAAATCAAATCTGAACAAAAGTATGAAACCTGTAAAATGTAAACAAACAGCACTGATGCAACATAGCTGTTGAGGGGCTTTGTTGATTTGGGCACTGCTAACTTGTAAGAATGTTCTAGGTGTACATGAGTAATGCCTATATGCATGTGATTCCCCAAGGTCTCTCTGTATTGTTCCTGAGCATGGAATAGAAACCACGAGGTTTTTGCTCACATGGATGTGCCACTGAAGCATTAGGACCACCTCAAACAGAGGTTGGAGTTCAGAGTGCCAAACTCTAACATATCCTTACATGGATTTGGAATATATGTGTATGTGAAGCTCTTTGTCAGATTCCCCACCCATGGGGAACCCCACATCCTACCTAACATATGATTCTTATTTCTGTATAGAAGGATAGGTTGGAGTAACTAGTAAGTAAAATAGCAAAAGGACGTTTGCCAATGCCACTAATTTATTAATAAATCTTTGAAATTAAGTTCCATCCTATGATTCAAATTTTGCCTTGTTAGATGTTGCATCATTGTACTTTTCCTTTTTTCTAGACATTTCTCTTGTTAAATTTCATTAGATTAGAACATTGTCAAACTTTCATCCAAACCTTCCATCTCTTAATTGCTAAAAAAAGGTGTTGGACTTGTATCTTTATGGAGGTTTAAAAAATTAAGTAATGACTCGGGAATTAAGTAACTGTACAGCCTTTTAATATCAATTTTGGCATTGCCAGTGCCAACACATCAATTATTATTTGAAGAAGCATCAGCAGACACAGCCTTTTAAAGGAGCCTAAATTGGATTAAAGGCATCCCTTGGCATCTCTGTCCTCCCCCTCACTCTTCCTTCTCACCCGAATTCTCTTTCTCAAAAATGTGTCCCAAATAATTAGTTATTATTTTGATCAGCATTTGGGATAGGCAAGGTATCCTTGGTTTAAATGTTCCTTTAAATGTCCCTTTTTCTCTAAAATATAAGGGAAGAAGTGCAAGCTATAATCTTAAAGGATAGCAACCGGCATCATATAGAATTAACTCTGCTAATCATTTGAAAACCAGTAACTATTGAGACTAAGGAATTCCAATTATGATCAGAGGAAGCAAAATCTCAAAATATAACTGAAAGGAAATTAGTGAATTTGGAAATGCTAACTGTTGCACCTTAAATGCTGGAGTCCCCTCAATTCAAATGTTGACACACAGCATCCATTATGATAGGCTTAAAAATGAGGCCTAAAACCCCTTCCATCCCCTAGGGACCCAGCCTCTTGATGAAGACTCAGGCTTCCCCTAGTTCTTCTGGTGACCCCTCTTAGCCTATTCTTCTATCCCCCTTTCAGTCCCTTGTGACTCAGCCAACTCACAGAGCCTGTGTCTACCAGGACCTACAGCTGCCACACTAGGCTGGGACCCAGATGAGAGCATCACTTGACCCTCATCAGAGAAGCTTCTTCACAGAAACATTCAGCTCTTAAAATCTTGTTTTTTTATTATAGAAAATAGTGTATTTCATACAATGTATTCTGACCAGTTTCCTCTCCCTCATCTCCCAGATCCTCCCTGCCTCCATACCCATCTAACTCCATGCCTTCTTTTGCTCTTTAAAAAACAGACAAAAACCAACCAAACAAAAACCAGACCAGACTAGAGCAAAACAATGAGAAAACAAAATTAGGAAAAGCAAGAGAAGCTTTTTTACCTGTAGAGACACACAGAAAAAAACATAAAAACAAAATCAGAAACAATAACATATGAGCATAAGACCACTAAGGTTAAAAAAGAAAGGCCCAGACAAAGGATTATGACACAAAAAGATCTCCAAAAATGCCCTTAAGTGAATTTTTTTTTTTATACCCAGCGAGACTTCATTGGAAAACATTTTTTTCCTTTGCAACCGTTTGATAATTGGAGTTATCTTCTTGCTTAGGGGTGGGAGCTCATGTCCACTTCCTCCTGGTGCCCCTTCTGGTTTGGACCTGTGCAGGCTCTCTGCAGCTGCCACTGTCTTTGAGTTCATATGTGGTCAGTCCTGTTGTATCTGGGAAGCATTGTCCTTGGTGTTTTCCATCCCTGTTGGCTCTTAGAATCTTTCTTCCTCTTCTTCTGCAAAGTTCGCTGAACCCTGATGGGAGGGATTTGATAGAGGCAGCCAATTTAAGACTGGGTATTTCAAGGTCTCTCACTCCTTGCATATTGTCCAGTTACAGATCTCTATTTTTGTTCCCATCATTTGCAGGTGGAAGCTTCTCTGATGTTGGCTGACTAGACACTAATTGAGCTGTTGGCTAATGGGACCCCATGGAACCCAAACAACTCAGGCTATTGACAAGGCTATTGGTTATTCTTCACAAACTGATGGTGGGGCCCTATTGCTGAGGACAAACCCTGCATACTCATTGAACACAGAGAGGATGAGCTGGTTCCTAACTAGAGCCTTCACTCCTATTGACTAATTAGTGTTCATGCTACCAGAGGAGAAAGGGAAACATGAATTCAACTACAAACCCTTCAGTCTACAATGGTTTTGTAAGCTGTTGCTGTTGAGTAGTCAGTCACTATATGATTGGATTTAAAGCCCATTCCATGAGATGGAACCCATGTTTGACACTGCTTAGGTGACCAAGAACCTGGAACTAGGTAGGCTATGGACCTAGGGGAAGACCAAATACTATTATTGTTCTGCTAAAGAAATGCAACTATATAATGACAATCTACTGTATTCATAAATCAGTGTCTTTCTCAGCCATTGTTCTGGCTACTTTTATGCCAACTTGGCAAGCTAGAGTCATTTGAAGAGTGGGAACATTAAATGAGAAAATGCCTTGGTAAGAGTGAGCTGCAGGCAAGCCTGAGGGCATTTTCTTTATTAGTGATTGATGGGAGAGGGGCCAATCCATTTTAAGCGGGTGTGGCTAGTGATTCTGAAAGCAGGCTAAGCAAGCCATTTGAGAAACCAGTAAGTAGAAATCCTCCATGCTCCCAGGCTCCTGCTTGAGTTTATGCCCTAACTTGCTTCAATGATAGGCTGTGATGTGGAAGTATAAGAAAAATAAAACTTTTCCTCCCTACGTTGTTTTTGGTCATGGTGTTTCATCACAACCATCTTCACACTAAGATAGTCATCATTGGAGAAGCTTCTTTCTTGTTTTTTAATGTAGTTTTCCTTTGGAAAATTGAAAATTTTCTCTCCTTCTCTAGTCTAAGCATTCTGTGAGTAGCAGTTACCCATATGACTGAGTAATGTCCAAACATAGTTTTTTGTTTGTTTGTTTGTTTTTGAGACAGGGTTTCTCTGTGTAGCTTTGGAGCCTACCTGGCACTCACTCTGGAGACCAGGCTGGCCTCAAACTCACAGAGATCTGCCTGCCTCTGCCTCCTGAGTGCTGGGATTAAATGCATGTGCCACCAATGCCTGGCCAGCTTTTTTTTTTTTATTAAAAGCAAAATATAGCCTGCATGAATCTTAATTGGTTTAGTCAATATTACATTTTGAAGGTAAAATAGAACTGATATGAAATTAGTTATAATGTATTTGAAGTTTCCTAGTATTACAAATAATGCTGTAATTCTTGTGCATATCTGGTTATTTATAGTTTTTATAACTATGGAGGTAGTATTATTATATAAAATTTTATAAATACTATGGAGACCAAACTGTTTTCTGAAAGATCTGTTTCATAAATAATAAGTTAACACATCTTACTACATCCACCCTTATCAACTCCTTCTCCCCACATTATCTTTTCAAATACAATTGCAATTTTGAATGCAAGAAATGTATAGTTTTTTGAATGGTTATTATTTTGTATCTGTCCTTTGGATGGTTGTATTGTCAACCATTTTGTTTTATTTTTAGTAGCCCTTTTAGAAAAAAATTAAAAAGCTACAGAATAAGAAATGACTTACCATTTTGGTGGATAATAACTTACAAAATACACCTGTTCTTACTCTTAAGTTACATATGTAGTTTATGTTATACCCAACCCCAAATTGCAAAATAACACAAGTTGTATTGCCCAAATCCCCAATGAATAGCCTAATAAATAGAATGGTGTATTCTTAGAATGGTTAAAATTTAATGAAAACAACTCTACAAATAAGGAAAAATTCCAACAAACCTTGGCTATAACTAACTTTGGGAAGTTAGTGGAACAATTATAACTGTCATGATTGTGGGAATGTAAAATGGTTTAAACAATTGGAACTCTGGATGATAGTTTCTAAGTTAAACATATATGCTGTACTACCCAGCAATTCTACTACTAGACTTTTATCTAAGAGAACAAAAACACTCACGCATGTGAAAATTTGTATATGAGTGCTTAGAGCAGCTTTACTTATAATAACTGCCAACTGGAAATTTCCTAAATGATTATGAAGGTGTAAACAAGTAAGCAACATGTGGTATATTCATACAATAAAATATTACTCATATATAAAAAGGAATAAACATTGACATATGTAAAATGTAATTTAACTACAAAATTATGCTGAGTGATAGAATCAAGGACCAAAGCAGCACCTGTGCATTTGATTTCATTTATACAAAGCTCTAGAATAGATACATTTAATAGAGACAACAAATCAGTAGTCTCCTGGGTTTTTGATAGAAGAAAGGCTGGGGACAAAAGACCTTGAAACATTCTGGGATAATAGTAAAGTATTCTGATAGAGATAATGGCTTTGTGGATATATACACATTTCCAAACTGATCAACTTCAATTATATTTTAATTAAGTTGAAAGGTCTATTTGAAAGAGATGACCAAAAGACAGAGAGGAACTAGACACAGGGTCTGAGATCTGGCGTTATATTTATTTGGGGGGAATTGTTTATAAGCATATTTATGCTTAGAAATCCCCAGAATTTTTTTTTTTTAGCAAAGAAGAGATTCTTGAAAATATATCTCTCCATTCATCCATATATATTGCAGAAGATCTAAAACCCAGCATGACCTGGAAGTTATCTGCTAGGCCTGTCTGGTTCAATGATGCATGGACATCCTACATAAAATTCATTCTAGGGCTAAAACACTTGCTTAAGAACCCATACCAGCTTTAGAAGACACTGAGTTTGAACTAAAATTTTCACTTCTTGCTTCCATTTTTTTTTTCAAGGCAGGGTTTCTCTGCATAGCTCTGCCTGTCCTGGAACTCACTTTGTAGAGCAGGCTGGTCTCAGAGATCTGCCTGCCTCTGCCTCCAGAGTACTGGGATTAAAGGCATATGTCACCACCACCAGGTTCATTTTTTTCTTAAATTTAAAAGGATAATTTTTCACTCATGTCACTTGCCACACAGTAGGTGTCTAGGAATGTATGATGATTAAATGGCTGGATCATTGAGATGAAATGCATAAGCATGACAAGCTTACTTAAAACAACTGTGTGGGGGAAAAAGAAAGAAACTGTTCATTCCTGCAGTGGATACTCATGTTCGTTTTTTCATTATTCAGAGGAAGAAGGGAGAGAATTGGGGAAAAGCCATTTAGTTTTCAATCTCTACTGAGGGTAACTGAGGTGTTATTAAAGAATATAATTTTACATTTTAGTCAAAATGTCAAATTTAACTCATAGTAAAAAACTTGATTTGTAAAAATACATTCAAATATTAACTTTAAAGTAGGATCAGAAATCTGTATGGGATTATTAAATGTTCTTTATTATTATTATTATTTGATAAATGTTCACTGAGGACTTTCTCTGCAGCCATTAGTAAATAAAACTTGTATTTCAGGATACATTTCTGAAGATAGTATCAATCAATCTACACAGAGATGAGGATGACTTGCCATGAAGATAGTCAAGAAACCTGAGATTAAAGCTGCATGCACATTAAGAATCTGAAGAAAATTGTGTCATGAAGTAAGAGGAAAATTTTCTCAGTTGTAGTATTTACATGTAAAATATTATAAAAAGACAATGATTATTATATCAATATTTAAAAGTTCATATTATTAAAAGTAAGAGATTTGTTTCTAAGCTATAATTGGTCTGATTCATAGGTCCATACTGACTTTGTAGAATTATAGATTCTTCTAGAATCCCAGATTTGAGAACTGTCATAAATAATTATGTCTGTATTGGCGTGCTACATTGTGTGCCTGTCTGTCTTCTCTGTCACTGTCTCTCATTCTGGCATTGAACACTGAACCCAGATCTTGCACATGCTAGGTAGTGACCCACCACTGAACCTCTGCCTGAGTTCTTCTGTATTTAGGCAAAAGCTGGTAGGCTGAATGAACATGCAGTTCCAATGAAGTATAGGTACAGTGTAGTAAGGTTTCTGATGTGTGTTCACTACTGTACATTAAGATTACTGTTTCAAAAATGTACAAAGAATACAAGAATCTAGTCACTGATACACCAAACAACCCAATTAAAAAGTGGGGTACAGAACTAAATAGAGAATTCTCAATAGAGGAATCTAAAATGGCTAAAAGACACTTGAGAAATTGCTCAGCATCCTTAGCTATCAGGGAAATACAAATCAAAACTCTGAGATACCATCTTACTCCTGTCAGAATGGCTAAAATCAAAAACACTAATCACAATTTATGCTGGAGAGGATGTGTAGAAAGGGGAACACTCCTCCATTGCTTGTGGGAGTGCAAACTTGTACAACCACTTTGGAAATCAGTATGTTGGTTTCTCAGGAAAATGGGAATCAGTCTACCTTAAGGTCCAGCAATTTCACTCTTGGACATATAACTAAAGGATGCACATTCATATAACAAGGATATCTGTTCAACTATGTTCATAGCAGCATTATTTGTAATAGCCAGAACCTGGAAGCCACCTAGATGCCACTCAACTGAACAATGGATAGAGAAAATGTGGTACATTTACCCAGTGGAGTACTACTCAGCAGAAAAAAAGACAATGGAATCTTGAAATTTGCAGGCAAATGGATGGAACCAGAAGAAACCATTCTGAGTGAGGTAACCCAGTCACAGAAAGATAAGCATGGTATGTACTAACTCATAAGTGGATATTAGACATAGAGCAAAGGATTACCAGCCTACAATCCATACCTCCAGAGAAGCTAGGAAACAAGGAGGACTCTAAGAGAGACATACATGGTCCCCCTTAGAAGGGGAAAGTGACAAGATCTCCTGAGCAAA